AGCTTATTTCTGTGCAGGCCTGTCTTTGACCCGGCTTTCCAGCGGGCCCTGAACACACCACACAGTGTTTGAGGAGCATTTTCAATGACGTGAGGCTGGAGGTGAGAAACCTATGGGAGAGGTCTTTTTGCAGAGTGATTGCGGACCTGGGCGGGTTCAAACTGTGTGGACTGGGGATCGGGGGTCCTACCTGTCCCAGGTCCAGGAAGGCCACAGAGTAGCGCGGGTCGAAGGAGTCGGTCCAGCCCTCCTGACCAGAGTGGAAGAACTCCACGTTCCTGATCTGAGCTTTGCCTTCAGGAGGAAGATCAGACAAAGCTCATCAAACGAGGGCTTAAATAAAGGAGTATCAGCTGACATTCAACTGATTGAAATTATTTGTTTAAATTATGAAAATGAACCCAGTTTAGGGCCTTTTTAAACCCAGAACGAGCTCATTAACGAGCACATTTGATCCCTCTGAGAACATTATTTTGTAAAGTTTTATCTTCACTCAGGAAAACAGGATGAAGAAAAAATAAATCTCACTTACTAAGAAACTTTTTTTTCTTTTCAGATATTTTTTAAACTGAATAACTTTTTTTCTGTCACTTAGAAAAAACAAATCTTTATATAAATGTTCTTATTATCTTGATACTTCAGAAAAATTGGGTTTTATGGGGTCTAATCTATCTTAAGTCAGAAAATGTTTTTTCTGGGAAAAAAATGTAATCAAAATCTAATCCAACAGGCGGCATCCTCACCTCTGAAGTCTATCCCAGAGCTGGAGAAAGCCCCCACCAGCAGCCGGGCCCCGAACGACTCGGCCAGCATGTCGGGGTACTCAGCCCCCTCCACTTTGATGTTCCTGGTCAGGAGGCCGACGTCGGCCGCCAGCGTGTAGGAGAAGGAGGTGCCCGCCACAGAGTGCGTGTCACCTGAGGGGGGGCAGCCAGGGGGGGCAGCGTGAGGCCTGAATCTGCATCGCTAGCTGCTTGCTAGCTGAGGGCAGGGCTGAATCTGCCTAACTAGCTAGCTGCTAGCTAGTTAGGCAGATTAGCTGCTGTCTGGTAGCTTCAAACTTCCTGCTCCAAATTGTGTGTTTTCATGCAGCTTTTGTCCACTAATGGCGACACTGACCGATGTGGGTGTGGCTCAAAGGCCGGCTCAGGGTCAGGACGCGGCCGTCTGCCGACACGGCGCTGATCCGATGCTTCTCGGTTTCGCGGGCGTCGTAGCTGCTGGTGGACATGGCGATCTCGTCCCCGGCCTGCAGACAGAGGGCATTCAGAGGGCATTTAGAGGGAATTCAAAGGGCGTTTAGAAGGCATTTAGAGGGTATTCAAAGGGTGTTTAGAAAGCGTTCAGAGGGTATTCAAGGGGTGTTTAAACAGCGTTTTTAGGGTGTTTAGAAGGCATTTAGAGGGTATTCAAAGGGCATTTAAAAGGCGTTTAGAGGGTATTCAAAGGGTGTTTAGAGGGCATTTAGAGGGTATTCAAAGGGCGTTTAGAAGGCGTTTAGAGGGTGTTTAGAAAGCGTTCAGAGGGTATTTAGAGGGAATTAAGAGGGCAGGACAAGCACTGCTGGGGCTCGCTGACCTGCCAGTCGACGGGCTTTGCCAGTGTCAGCCTGGTGGAGCCGGCGGCGGCGGTGGCGGCCAGCTTTGTGTGGTAAACGTCACGAGGCAGGCCGAACAGCTCCAGCGAGCCGAACACCCCTGTAAATGAAACACTGACTTCAGCCTCTGATAAAAGCCTCAAAGCCTTTCGTGACCACAGTGATCCATCTCTCATTGCGTACCCAGGACTTTGGAGCCCTGGTTGGGTCCATTTGGCAGCGGCCAGTCAGGAGTGTTGTGGTTTCCCCTCAGTTTGATGAGCAGCTGACCTCTGAAGGGCTCATCCTTCCATCCAGCAATCAGCCGGCCGCCCTGAAACACGAACACCCCCCGAGTCACGATTAGATTATCTGCTCAATCACAACGCTGCCTCATCCATTGAGTTTGGGGCTTTTTTTCTGCCTGAATGACTCAGAGTTAAATGACTCAAAGTAAAATAAGATAAATAAATTAAAAATTAAAGACATTTAAAAAAATTAAATAAGAAAATAGAGTACATAAATGAAAAAAATCACTGAATGAAAAACTAAAAAAACAAAAATAAAGCGAAATAGGTAAAACAAGGTACATAAAATTAAAATAAATATAAAATAAAACATTAAAACAATAATAATTATATGTAGTAACAGACATTAAATAAATATCTAAAGAAATTAAATAATATATAAAAAACATCAATGTTGGGTGAGTAACTAACTGAATTGCAATAAATAGTTGATAAAACTAGAACAAACAGAGACTCAACAGAGCTGAATGTAAATGAAACAAAGAAAAAACACAGGACTGACAAGTCTGAAAAAGAGAGGGAAGGTTTACATGGATCTAAATATAACTGTTTGACTTTGGGCGGCTGACCTGGATGGAGATGTAGACGGCATCCACCACCGTGGTTCTGTACTGGGGAGTGGACCGGGCCGTCCTGCTGGACTGGTTCATGGTGTCGGGGATCTCCAGGACTCCAACGATGGTCAGCTTGTTGAGGGGAGGCGTGTCGGCGTCCAGCACCACCCAGCGCCCTGCGTTTGGACACAAGACATCTCTCTGAGCTGGGCCAGCGGGTCGGGTGGTTCGGCCGGGTCCAGAG